ATGTCCATCACAGAGCTTGTTTGCATTTCTCAACTACCAAAAACACACCCTAGTCTCACAAAGTGTGGAAACCTCAAGATTCTATTTCCAGAACTTCTTTTCCACAGACTTCCCAGCTGAACTGCAAAGCTGAAAGTATGGGTTTGAAATATATGAGCCAGGAAGAAACACTTTCCCTTCTTTGGCGAGGCATGAGGGAATTGGAGAGTACATCTTTCAGGCTCTCACCAGGAGCCTGGACATTTTTGAATCTGAAGCTTTGGTACTCTTCTGTAATTCCTCACAATACTCCCGCATCCTGGGTACAGAACCCCCAACGGAGCTTCCCCTAGTCTGTGTTCTGCCGGCCTTTCAAACGTCAACTTCTAATCCCAGGTATTAAATCTTCCCACTGAGACCCGCAGAGTGATTTCTGTTTTTCCAACAAAACCCCTCAATAACACACAATTTTATAACATAAATGGGTTACAGGAAAGAAACTGGAATTGGCTATCTGATCCAATTGTACTTCAAAGCAGTAATAACATCATTGCTAAGATAAATGGAATACTAGTAGACCTTGGCATTCCTATAGTTTGCTGCAAAAAAAAAAAAAAATCTTAAAGGTATAGCATTAGGAGACCATGATGGATATTGAAGTATAGGCAATGTGTAGTAGAAATATAGTGCAGGTTGATGGCTATTTTTTATTATAATTAGCTTACTAAAACAAATGACAAAATCAAGCTCTAAATATTTGGCCCAATTTAACGCCAAAAAATCAAAACCAACCAATCAAATCAAAGAGAATGAAATTGAAACACACACATACTTCTATTTCTCATTTCAAAAAATCTCTACTGTCCTGTTATCTCAGAATTAGTGCTACAAAGAAGGCCCAAACTAACTACTCAGTGTCCAAAATCTGTTGAAATTTGCAGAATCTGTAGAGCTCTTACACAAAAGCTGGCGCGCTATCAGGATACATGACACAGAAACTTGAAATTGTGATTTTTTAAAAAGATTTATTTATTTTTATTAAAAGGCAGATATACAGAGAGAAGAGACAGAGAGGAAGATCTTCCATCTGCCAATTCATTCCCCAAAGGCCACAATGTCACGTGGGTGCAGGAACCCAAGACAGCATCCATTGCTTTCCCAGGCCATAACAGGGAGCTGGATGGGAAGCAGGGCCACAGGGATTAGAACCGGCGCCCATGTGGGAGCACAGCACGTGCAAGGCGAGGACTTTAGTCACTAGGTTACTGTGACGGGCCTGAAACTGTGATAGTGGATCAATTCTGTTGATGTGGGATTCTTTGGATCTTCAAATTTTGCTTTTGCTCCACCAGCTGAATCAGTTCCTTCATGTCTATTAGATCTGCCTTCTCTGGCTGAAGATCCTATGATGAAATGTCACTTAAAAAGTTATCAGTTGTTCTCAAGACCCAGACCCCAATTCCAGTTCTTACAGGCTCATAACAAAAGTCAAATCCCAGTTCATTAGAAACAACAAAAAACGAGTTTTCCTTTACCTTGCTCTGAAAGTGAAAAACATATAAGCCAAAATAGTTGATAGTTGTAGTGATTCTGCCAACTCATAACAGAAAAAAAAAAAATGCAAGAACAAGTATAAGAATCAGTGAATGCGTTAGTCGGGGGAATAAGCCTACCAACAAGGGCTTGAGCCCCGAGAAACAGGGCACGTGCTCTGTCCACGACTTGAGGTTATGATGATGACTGAATCAGGTAGGGGAGATGCAGAAAACACCACACTTGACTCGTCAGAAGCAAACTTGCCCTCACAAAATGTCAAAAATCTAGGTCATCCTGATGATGTTTTCAGTTGTCTAAAACTTTTCAAATAACCTTTTCCAAAAGGAAAAGACAACTTGTTAACGCCTCTTAGCTTACCACCAGTGAAAAGGAGACGCATTCTACAGAGGCCAACATCAGCGTTCTACAGCCACTGAGAACTGTGTGTCAGCATGCTGCTGCCGACTGTTAGCTAAGAACCCAAAGACACAGAGGTTGACTGCAGATAACAGAATGCAAATTCTCTTTAGTAAACAAAGATTCCTGGACAATTAGAACTTGTGAAACTAAAGATAAAAACATGTCCCAGACTGCCTAAAAAAGATACAATGATTAGATACTACTCATTTAAAACAAGGCAATCCTCTATTCCACCAATTACTATTTATTCTGAGAAGCGTGTCAGGGTTACTTGTCGAATTTGTACACATTAATTATTTTATGTTATTTTTACTTACTTCCCATATTGCTTTCTATGAGCATAAGTACCCTACTGCTCAGATTCCTTATTTTCTATTTGAGTTATACAAGTTAAATTAGCTTTTTAGTGACATAGTAGTATAATAATTACTGTGCAGAGATTGTTATACACAGAGTGGAGATTTGTGCATCTTCATATTACTGATTATATGTATAAATGCACCTTCACTTGCATTAGGCTGTTTTGCCAAGGAATAAAGAACATAAAATCAGCAAAAAAAAAAAAAAAATTAAGAACATATTAGTTTCCTGAATTAAAGTTCTACATTAAAATATCAAAAGCTGTTTGGCTCAGAGGCATTAGGAATGCATTTTTCCAAGTTCTGAAGCTGGGAGGTTTAAGATCTTGATTCTAGTAAATTTGTCATCTGATGTGGCACAACTTATTTTTTCTAATGAATAGGCAGAAGAATCTTCAAAGCTTTATTTTTTCTAATAGCATTCATTACTATCTGTTTAGTTTCCTCACCCTTGACATTTTCACTTCAAACCTTAACTACAGACACACATTGGGGATTAGCTTTCTGTGTTTGAAGTTAGAAGATATATATTTATATCAAGTCAGAGCAAGATATATTGTTTTTGACTTTGTTGACAGTTTAGGTTTAAATGTACATAAAATATCCCAATATTCCACATTTGAGAAATCCATGGAAGGTTGATTTGTATAAGATCTGTTGATATTTGGTACTCTCCTCCATTATATTGAAAACATTCTCAGTATCATAGATATTAGACAGTCTAAGAACTACAATTTCTAGATTCTTGTCAGCAGACTTTCAGTTTAGATGTTGATAATAATAGGCATTTGTGTGAAATTACATAGGTAGAACGTTGAAGCTATTTTTCTCTTTCAGCAGTGGATGGTACCTGTGGAGCCAGGCAGGACTTGAAACTTTTAAAGGCACCCTGGGAAGCTTCTTCAAATCACCTTCCTCAGTTCCACAGCTGAGTTCACAGGCAGTGTGTATTTTCCAATTTTTCTAACACCAGTTATGATACTCTGATCTTCATTCAAAGAATCTTGTTCACTGAATTAAATGCAGTGTGCCAGAATTCCTGCATTTCTAACTAAAGTCAGATTCATGCAGTATAGTAACAAAGAACTTAAAATAAATGAACACAAATCAAAACCTGACTGGTGCAATTCCACTATTATTTGTGAAACTTCTTATCTAATCCTTGATCATTGTAATCATGCACATTCGATACATGGAGAGAAACACATCATGTGCTTGTATTTTTGTTATAATTCACATGCATTTCTTTAGGAGAAATGTCTCCAGATATCTACTTCTGTTTTTTTGATATATTCAATACAATCCATTATGTTTGTTCTGAGATCAAATTAAGTTTAGCTAAAGCAGGAAGGCAACCAAGAAACAAAGCTGCTTTGAGCAACCTTTTCAGATTTTCATGATCAAGCAGTTATTAAAAGCTTGATAAGATGGATAAAAATCATGACAACCTTTCTGATACTCAATTTCCTTACATTCAAAGTAAAGGCAAAACCACCTCCCAGAGGAAGTGCATGTGTGCAAATCACGTTGCTATTGGTCATCAGCAGTTCAGTGGTCAGATACTGGTTTTGTTGCTATTCAAATATGGATTTATAACATGCTGAACATGTTAATCATTTAAACAACTGTGGCTTGTTATGTAGTGATTTCATCGCTATAAATCTTAAGAGAAAATGAAGAAGATTTATTTAGCCTTCTTTCTGGGAAGATTCTTATTAAAGAATTTCTATGATTGCCACTGTTGGCAAATAAGAGATTTTTTTTTTTGGAAATGCTTTCTAAATTTATTTTCCAGCTGTTCATATTACAACAAACAACTATAAGATGCTCTGGTTGATGCTCTGGTCTCATTCCCTCCACCTGGTTCTCATAAGGACCAGCTGAGTAAATCAGCCAAACATGTCTGGATAAGAGAAAAATGATTGCACTAAATTCCTTCACGTCACATTCAGGATTTCTCAGCTCCAGTGGGTCCTTGATGTTATGCTGCATCCCTCTAAATTTCCTATCCTCTCTTCACTAGTGTTGTGTACCTCCTCTTTCACCAAAAAGAAAAAACTAAAAATGCAATGGACTCTGATATTTTCCTTGCTTAAAATGTTGGGAAACACTTCAATAGTGGAATGATGGAGAGGAAATCAGTAATGGGAGTGGGGCGGGGGGGAGATGGGGTTGAGGAGGGAGACGGGAAATCCCAGACCCTAGGGAATTGTATCATGAAATACTAATTTAAAAAATGCAGTGGTCATCTCTTTTCATGATTCATGAAATCTTAGATCCTAGTTACAAAATAAAAGTTAAAAAATCCGAGAAGAGAGGTAAATGTTTAACTGAGCAATTAAGACATGGAAAAAGATGTGTGTCTCATTGTGACATACCTGGATTCCAGGCCCATATCTGGCCACCGCTCACACAGGATCTGGGCCCTGCTCACACAAACCACAGAGAACACCAAGTGTGAGTCAACTGATGGAGTCTCTGTCACGCATCTGGGAGACCTGGATTGAGTTCCTGGTTCCTGGTTTTAACCGGACCTGGTCACTATCTCCATGCCTGCTTTCATGTAAATGAATTAACAATCTGAGATGAATTTCCACTAGCTCCCACAATATCCACACTTCGAAGTCCTTAAGTGTCTGCTTTCTACAGTCTAGTGTGTGTGTGTATTAAAGTATCTGTATTCCTTGTTTTTTTTTTCCTTTTTTTTTAAATATGGAACATGTCAGAAATTTGCATGTCATCTTTGAGCATGGGCCATGCTAATATTCTCTGTCATTCCAATTTTTGTGTATGTGCTATTCTTAAAGGAAGCCTCTGTAATCTGTTCTAAGTATTATTTCCCTTTACATTCTCAATAGCAGGATTCAAGCGTTTTAGTTTCAATTCTCCAAAAAGACAGTTTATTTTTCTCTGCTGCATTATTCCTATTGGTTTTATAAACATATTTATTTCTGTTCCGAGGAAGTCCCTGATTAGATTTACTAGGATACGTGTTCAAGAATATTCAAACCAGGGCATGAAATGTAGTCTTGTGCTTAAAACGCCTGTATCTAATATTAGAGTCTAGACTGTCTCTCCTGCTCCAGCTCCAGGGTCTAGCTTGCTATTTACATCCATCCTATAGGCAGCTGGGATGGCTCAACAGATTAGCGCCTCTTGCGGCGATGACAGTCCTGGCTCACATTCCTTGTTCCTGATGTCAGCCAGGACTAGCTCTAGCCATCACAGCAACAGCAAGAATAAGTATTTGAGCTATCATTTTAAACAAGAATGTATCAATTCTTTTTTTTTTTAGAAAAACAGAATAAGCAACTATGCTGGCACACTGGCACACTGGTAAAATTAACGCTAATTTGAGATTAACCAGTCCCAGAATGGCTGAGAGCTGTTGGTTGCATGTCACCTAGCAGTGTGACAGTTCTCTAGAAACAATAAAACCTAAGTTATTGCCTACAGCTGGGGTGAAAAGATGTTTACAGTGAAAACAAAGTATTGATATAAATAGAATAAGTAAAAAAGGAAGATTAAAATGATTTTATGCCAAGACATTATATAATTTGGATATGTAAACTTGTTAGAAATCCACAAATTCATAAAGCTGATTAAAAAAAGAAACAATTCTTCAAATTTTTGCCTGCTTTAATGTATTTTTATTTATCAAGTTAAAAATAAGTGCTAGATAGAAAGACAACTTCCATGCAGTAGTTCACTCCATGATTGGTCGCCTGGGCCAGGAGCCTGGGTTGGCATTTGAATATCTTACACATTTCTCGGAGGCCTCTCCACCTAAGGCGTCAACTGCTGCCTTCCAGCATGTATTAGCAGGAAGCTGGGTGGAAGCGAAGCTGCTGAACTTGAACCAGCTGTTTAATGTCAGATTCTGTCCCTCCTTGGAGGGAGTCCAATTCACTGTGTTCCATGCTCATCTGGTACAACTACAACATTTAAAGTCATTGAGTCAATAACCAGATATCTGCCAACACAATAAAATTCATGATGAGGTGATTTCATTGAATTCAGTTAATTAAACTGTTCTAAAGAACAGTCGAAACCTGTTCAAAACCACTTTTTTTTTAATCAAATGGAAGAGTATGCTTCCCCATTTAATATGGGGTTTTCTATGTAATGGTGAATTAAGTGTTTAGTAAAGCATTACAAATATACTCATTAAATTAATTGAAATGGATAATAATATATTATGTTTATTATATCCTAGTGAAAAAATATCCTTAGACCTTTTGACTGAAACACATCTGTATTTCTAAAATTAATATTTATACATTTTACTGTGAATAATTATTGCATTATCTTGTATATTTATGCATTTTAGATTTCCAAATTTAATTTTTGGCCTATTATTATTTTTTTTAATTTGAGGTGATAATTACAAACTAAAATGTTTTAATTTCATTAGGCTTTGTGCCGTATCAACTATCAACTCTATGGCCATGTTTCATCCGTTGTATTCTGGTTGTTCTTACTGTGAATTTAATTCTGACAAAACCTGTATTTGTTAGAACCCCATGTACTCAAAACTGAACTTTTCTTCCTTTGATAATATTACAAGTGTTTCTCTCTGGTATCTAGAATTTTGACAGCACATTGCAACCTCCTGAGATGACTTTAAACAGTTTTTTTCCTCTTGGGGCTTTTAGACTACATAGGTAATATGAAATTGGGACACAAAAGCGCATGAGTATCAGCCTAGGTTAAAAATTCTGAAAAACAAAGCTAAGACAATCAAGAATTTGAACATTGCGGCATTGCAAAGGATTGCTTCAATGTTTTATTTATTTTTTCAGCTTTACGCTTTCACTGAGGTTGTGATTCTCATATTCAAGATTTATTTGTGGTCTCTGATCTGATCTTTCACTTTGGGCTTGGGGCACACATATGTTATTAAAATCAAAGCTCTATATTAAGGAATCTGCAAGTTTTCCCAAGGAAGCTATGGACTTTATTTCACTCATTACAGTAGATTTATGCTTTCTATTTGCTTTCTGCCTCTGAGGATTACTCTCACTTTATTGCTAGCTGAGACTTGAATTTTAAAGTGTGCTTTTAAAAACTATACTCGAGATTTTTCAATATTTTAGCAGTAGGATGATTTGGGGTGTCTATTTTGCCTTGTTACTAGAGAAGACATACACACATACGTTCTTCTCCAGGGACAGAGGAAATACTCTGGGCCTAACATTGCTTGGTTTTTGCAAGTTAAACTAATTAGGAAACACACCAACCTGTAGTGACCATTATTCCCTTAACTTACTATTTCCATGTTATGTATTTTTTTTTTAATTTTCATACTCAGCATAGGATTATTTTCCATTTCATTTGAATTTACATGTAGTCATTTTATGGGACCATGAAGTGTAAGTGAACCTGAAATGTGTCACTTCTGCCTAGAAAATTTAAGAGACAAGTAATTTAAAGTATTCGAGTCCTAATTGTTGCAGTCAAGCATAAGTCAAGGGGAATAAAATTTTTGCTGATGTGAATTCCTTAGGGACTGAGCACACTCACATCACACACAGACTCTGGAGTGTTGACCTGCAGTGGAAATGCAGCTTATAAAGAAATCAAGATTTGTTATCTTGAGATCGACACTGGGGGGATTTATTTATTACCATAGTGTATTTTTACCAAGCTTACATTTATCAATAACACTGGTTATATAGTGAAATATTAAAAATTTAAAAAACTAAATCAATGCCCATGACATCCTTGGATCTTTTCTGGTATTGCCAATAAAATAACTACCACTTCCTATAAACAGAGAGTAACAAGAAAATAACTAATGGAATTTACTATCAATGAGTTCTGTCATGTCTTTGACTCATATTAACTCATACAGTTTTATTGTGGAATTATGAACGTGATACGTAATTATCTCTATTTTGAAAAACAGGAAAATAAGGGAAAGAAAAATATCTGCAAAACAGAATGATGACCTTGTAGTTGTCTTGTTCTATAAAAAGGAAAAATTTATGTTCTCCCAACCTGGAGGTCAGGATGCCCAAAATTAAGATGTGTGATTTAAAAAAATTTTTTTTCTAATGCCTTTTATGTCTTTCAAAAGGGAGAAACCGTCATACCTGATTACATCTTCAGAAGACTCACATTTACAACACCTGCATTTGGGTCGGGCAGAGGCAAATGTCAACAGTGGTGACCAAGCAGGACAGAACGTCATTGTGAATGGAGCTCCCTTCCACTTTCATTACCCTCTTTTCCTTGCAGAGTGTCTGATAAAGTTGTATTTTCCATAATATGCTGAGGGGCACTCCTTACTAATTTATAATACCACAGCACAGTATGCCAGATGGTGTTATTTGTTAACATACTCTGAATGGGACCTGCTTGTTGAGCATTTCAACCTCAGGGACAGCATCCGTTATAGGAATTTACCTATGTGGAATCGCTCTTGGGATGAGGCCCAGGAATGGTGGGCATCTACTTGGTATTCTAATCAACTATGAAATGACTCTCTGTGGCTTTGGCATTTTGTACATAGAAATCATCCGTCCTAGAGAATATCGTGTGGCTATGTTGGATTTCTGCTTCATGTGTCCACTGACTCCCTTGGTCATTACACATTCCCTACCTACAGCGAAAGGAATAACAAATTATACCTGAAAGGCTATGGAAAGAATTTCCAGAACAGATGGTGTGTGAGTTGGCTCTCATTGGATGAATTATAGCCTGCTCTATAGAGAAAGACAAAAACGGATTTCAAAGTTATACAAATAACTTCAGCACATTTTAAATACACAACTAGATATTTTCAAATCCAAACCAACTACACAACAATATTACTTGATTGCTGAGTTTATATGACTTGCAATGAAGGATTTTTGTATCTTCCAATGAGTTTGGAGTTTATATCATAATGATGAGAAAATATCTTAGAGTAATATTCCTAGAGTAACACCTGTGGCAGATTGACAATTGAAATATATGCCGAGTTTTACCAAAAGAAGCCACTCAGGGTTGTAATAACATATATTGACTGAAAGTTATGCTTTAGCAATAGTTTTAGTACCTTTTTAAAGAGGCATCCCTAAATGGCTTATTAATGGCAATAAACAGAAGACTCTTGACAACTGCAGGCTTCTGAGCCTACGCCCATTTAATCTCTAGGACATGGTACTTAGCCAGAACTGTGTTTCTTTCCAAATTCATCCATTCTGTTTTGGAAGATTATTGTAGCTACATTATTCTACCTGAAAGTCTGGCCAATTCTGTCAATATTCTGTCATTCTGTCATATTTCAAGACCAATATTTTGAGGGGATGGGTGAAGAGAAGGGAAGGGGAAGAGTGTGGTTTTGTTTAATTTTGGTAAAAGCCCAAACAGTAAAAATTTTAGGTTTTATAGGTCATATAATCCCTATCGCAACTCTTCAATGATAATAACGCAAAGGTAGCCTCAAACTAGAATGCAACAATATCCCAATAAAACTTTAGTTAGAAATGTTTTACTGTAAAAAGCTTTACTTGTTCACCTTGACTTTCAAAGTCTGTTTGGGCTCAGTTTATTTAATACGCTTCATTTCTTGAACAGCATTTCCACATGCTGATTTCATTATCTGCCTGGTTCCTAATATGTTGTTGTTTCTGTCACTCTTTCCTCCCTCCTCCTACTCCCTGACATGCAAGCATGAGATTCCCTTCTTCCTTTTATGTACTGCAGCAGCGGGGCTGTATTTTTTTATGCCAAGCTAGTCTCCAATCCTAATTTCTATAGTGTTGAAAACAGTTAATATTGCAAGAGCTCAGGGAACTGATTATAAGGGCTAAAAGAATTATAAAG